CTGTGCTTGGCTAGAATGATGTTGACAATATTTAATTAAGTTTAATTATATTAAGCGCAATTTATATTTCTTTTTTTCATAACAATAATATCAGATTAAACAAAACACTGAAACAAGAAAATGGCGATATAGAAGGACATACAGGGTTAGTGCCAATAAAAATGATGCTCCTCCATTACTTAGCTGGATCAAAATCAATAAAAACCGTTTGCGAAACGGGCTTTAACGGTGGCCATTCAAGTTTTAACTTTCTAACATACAACCCTGATTTAAAAGTGTATACATTTGATCTCGGTGAGCACAGTTATGCTCCTAAGATGGCAAATTATTTAAGTAAAATTTTTGGAGTTGAAGGTCGTTTTACTGCCAGGTCAGTTCAATTACTTATACAAAATATGTAAACTTTAATTGATGCGTACTAATGGAAAACAAGGTATAAGTAATGTTTTTGCAGTTATTTTTAGTTATTGAGGTCCACACATTCCATTCTATTTCTCAAAATAAAAACAAAAATAATTATTCCATTTTCATCTAATTTTATTGTTTAGAAACACCAGCAACCAGAGGAACAGTAAATTTATAACTGCTAACAATTTCATTCATAGTAACTGAACATTTCTAAATTTTTGTAAACATTTAAATTGCTCTCGTATTTGTAAGCACTTAGCAATTAAAATTTTCAACATCTGCTCTTATTTAAATATTTACGTTGCCGATAAAACAACGTCATACGTCATGTATGCGCAAGAATAACTAAATGAATCACATTTATGATTTCGCTTCAAACCTTGCTAGAAACCTCACTGAAAACCTGTGTTTCAGCAGGATCTTTTACTATACAAGCTTCTTTTTACGATCCTTTATAATCCAAAGATAACAAATAATCAAGATAAATAATAATAAATTTGGTCATTGCAGCGTTTATAACATTACCACCACTTTAACCTGGTGTTACTACTTTATTTCATTAAATAGGGAATAATTTATTCAAGCGAACAACTTTCATCTTTGTCCATTTTCTTCCATGATCATATGTCCTGTATATGGCCTTGTTCCGATATTTCCAATTCTTTGAGAATTTTACCTGGCATATTCTTTTCTTGCGCCGTTGGACAACCAGACAACCAGGTCTTTCTCTTGAAACCTGTGTTATTTCTTTTCGGTTCACGCCACGTTTTTGTTGTTTCGGTTCCTCTAGCCATAGGCAGATGTCGTGGTCCTTTGTTGATTTTGTTGTCACTTGAAGCAAGTGCTTTCTTTCTATTGAGTTTACGAGGTGTAGGATGACCAGACGGATATCTTTGATGCATGTTGTAAGATTCTTCGTTGACATCTTTCCTGTTGATCAGTGATGCAGCGATGAAAAACTCATCTTCATCAGCAATGAAGCCATCGTTCATGTCATCGTCCAGGTAAAAGAGAACCAAGTTTTTCTTCCAGGTGCAAGTTAGAGGCTTTATCTCAAAACTTGAATCATTATCTGTCATCAATTTTTGTCCTGAATAAATATTCACATCAGCATTAGAACCATCTTCACTGACATCGTTAATCTCTAATTAATGCTTTCCCAGATTAACGCCTAACCATATCATCATTGAAATTGTAGTTGCAATTAATGTGAATGCTGTCGTTGTTGTTGATGAAAACAGGCGAGTTGTAAGCACTGCCAACTTTTCCAATACTTCCAAAACCTTCGTTGCCGTCTTCGTAAGCAGCTTCATTAATACGGTAACTTTCTTTCTTTAAGACAATACGTGCATCGTAGTTGTCACGTGTATCCCAATTATCAAGTGCATCGCAATTAACAAGTGCATCGCAGATATTACGTGCGTCGCAGATATCACTAGCGTCGCAGATATCACTAGCGTCGCAGATATCACGTGCGTTGCAGTCAAAATCATCCGTAGATGAATAAGCCGGTAGGATAATTTCCGGCTCTTTTATAGCCGTCGCTGGTCCGGCCAGGTACATTTTTCATTCTTCCGGTTTGCAATCCAAATTTATTTCCGTGTTGTTTTCACGATTTACTTCATTAGGTTCTGTAATTGCATTGGCTGCTCAAAATTCAGTCATCTGTCGATCCTATTTTTTATTAAAAACATATAGCATCAAAGATCCGAGAAGTCAAACTTATCATGATGATTGCCCTCCTTTAAAAGAGCATCCTTTAGGTGGTTTATCAAAACTGTCTTCGCTCCTTTCGAGTCAAGGTTTAGTTTTTGTAGTTCTTTTCTCAGATAGGTCTTATTGAGTTCATCTAGTGCTGGCATTCTTTATTGCAAAAAGTTTTCAATCTATCAAAAATTCCACATCTGACACCAATATTGTAACAATTGAACGCTCGTAACTACCAACACCGATGTATAACTTCAATAATCTCTATATTTCCAGCACCAGTGTTGTAGCTTTCAACAATTGTCAAGTGTTCGTTATTCCGTAGGTTCAAGATCACATTTACATCTTAGCTTCAAATCTCGCTAGAAACCTGACTGGAAAACATGAGTCTCCGCACAGGCTTCTTTTAACGATCTTTTATAATCCAAAGATAACAAACATAATAAAGATAACGAATAATCAAGATAACAAATAACAGAGCGCAATTTGACCATTGCAGCAGTTATAACAATACTATTATAACTAATATCATTATAATAGCAATATTTAAATAGATAAAAAAGTTAAAAAATTTTGACAGATTTGGTGACTCTTCTGTTGAAATACTGAAAGCAATATCAAACAACACTCTTCCACTCTGTGACTTGATATTTGTCGATGGAGGGCACGCCTACCCTACAGCGAGGCTAGTTAATTTTAGACAAAACAGCTCAAAATATTTGGTATATGGAAACCGTCAAAAGTTCACTTTTATTATATAATTTATAAAAGTTGGTTACAAATACGACAATTTATGAAAAAAAACTGTGAAATTTGGTTCAGTGTTATAACGCAGAACTTAACTTTACCATTACATTTCTCCAACTTAATTAATGCCAAAATATTATTTTTTAAAGCTCAAATTTATAAAAATCTGCAAAGCACTTTGCAAAGAAGAAAAAAACATTATCTTTCCTATTTTTATCTTATGAATTAATTTTATAAGAAGAATGTACTATTATACAAAAAAACTGGTTAAAAAATTTTAGCTGATGTTAAATAATATTTTTTACAGAGCTGACATAATGAATTTAGCTGGCCATTCAAGCGAGCATAACATAATAATATTTGATGATTACCCAAATGATTGGGGGGATGAACTTTGGTAAGGCTTGGGACGAAATGCTGGTGTCTGAAATAGAGACTAACAAGGTTAAAAACAAATTTATATTTACAACATAATCTAATCATAAGTCATAAAAAAGTTCTTACGTAATTGTTTAATTTTTTATGCGTATAACTTTTTTCAATTTTAAATTTAATTTTGTGACTAATTTGAAAGAATTTTTTCATCACTATTCTACAAATCTGTGAAATTTACTACAGAAATTGAAAAAACCAAATGTCGAAGTTGTGAATAAATGTAATCACAGCAACCAGCCTAAAACAAATAAAAAAACCAGACCATAAAAAAAGCAACATTTATAAAATCAATAGCAACGATGACAGCATCAAAAACAACCAGATTTTTGGTAACAATAACGACAACGATAATACAAAAAAGAAAAAAATCTACATTGTGGAATCATTACGATGCATTCTACGACACCCAGGCATCAATTTTCAACGCGGCATTTCGGTTGGCAGAGTCATCATTCATTGACTTCCCACACATATTTGTAAATAAATAAATTAATTAATTTGGCATACATATAAATAATTTGATTTCGGTAGTTGTTAGTAAAATACTTTTCCCGTCGTTTAAAGATTTGTTTTTAACATTTGTCAATATTTTATAACCGCCAAGATGGTCAAGTTGCGCTATACTATAGTTATCTTGACTATTTGTTATCTTTGTTAGCTTTGCCATATTTGTCACCGATTGCAAAACTATAAGCGAGTGAATAGCGAAGTTTGAATTTGAAGCGAGGTTGTGGTGATTTATGTAGTTACGAGTTACGTTCTGAATTATTGGTGATTGTGGGTATTTCTTGAATCACTGTTGGCTTCGAATAAACGTTTAAAAAAGTTTGTGTTTGAAGCAGTTGTGTTCATCCATCAGAAATCTTAAGCCTGAGGAATTAATGTCAACTTAACAATACAACAAGCTTCAACACTGGTGTCGGAAAAAAGGATCTTTGAAGTTACAACACTGGTGTCGTTGAACTTTATAACATTGGTGTCAGAAGTAGGATTGAAACTTCCTTCAATAAAAAATGACGGCACTAGATGAACTCAATACAACTATTCTGAGAAAAGAACTACGACAACGAAACCTCGACTCGAAAGGAACGAAGGCAGTTTTTATCGACCGCATAAGGGATGCTTTGATAAATGAAAATAAAAGTTTGATTTTCCGAATTCTATGGATGAAATTCTTAGAAAACTTGATCAACGGATAGTCGAATTACGAACAGCCAATGAAAAAAGCAGCATCTAAATAAGGAAATGATGACAACGACGACGATGAAGATTTTTAAAATATTGGAGAAGTTAGCAGTGACGAAGTCATTGAAACTATTGATATGCAGTTAAACTACTACTCGAATCTTTTTTTCAGCAACTTGCTTGTTTTTATTTCTAATTCTTTTCATTTAGATCAAAACGACAAGGCTTGAGAGATGACATTGAATGACATTGAAACAGGAGTGACATATATGCAACCGGAGTTGTTGAGAGTCACGAAAACAGTAGAAGCTAACAATTCGAACAGCAATAATGATTTAGAGACTTCATTGCTAGCAAAAATTACAACATTACTTGATACAGTTCAAAATAAGATAGAAAACAAATTAAGTGACAGTGAAAACATGCACACAAGCACATAATTCAAGAAGCGATAATATTTCTAAAATTATAAAATGAGTACTCGTCTTAACTAGTTAGATTTAATGAAGGTAACCAACATAGAGCAATTAACAACAAATGTAACAACTATGGTAAACGCTAAAAATTAGTGTCCCTGTCCAGCCTTTTCATGTTACGTGTTCCAAGTATAACCATTTCGCGAACATTTGTCGTTCGAAGACAACATGACGGTCACGCACTATTCGCACTTGCCCGCAGCAACAACATTACGTATCAAAATGTCATACACGTCATAAAAAACAGACATTTCAAAGAAATACCGCTAATAAAATTCACATTTGCATACGCGATCACCATTTTCATGCACTTATTGAAACTGGCGCTAAAATTTCATGCTATATCAAAAAAGTTGCAACGAAATTAAATTTAATAAAACAATTACATAACAATAATATTTTAGATATACATGATGCTGATGCTAAGTGTTAGGTACATTGAAATTGAACATTTAAAATTGCATGTCACATTTTATGTTTGTAAAAACGTTATTTAGGAATAGATTTTTTAAACGATCATAAAGCAAAAATAAATATTAAAAATAATTCAATTTTATTTTTCATGATTATCTTATCTCTAATATTAATGATTGTTAATCTCATAAAAATAATTATCGTATCAGTTCAAATAAAATTCAGTTCAACCACATACAGAAACAATATTGAACGCACTAACTTAATAATAATAAAACATACATAATAGAAGCTATGAATAAATTTATGGCACGCGCGTATTTAATAGCACGCACAGTATCACATTCATTAAACAATACCGTTATTTGTCGCTTAATAATCATTTCAAACAAACGCATACATATTCAACCATACGCGCAAATAGCAATCATCGATGAAATTATTGTCAGAGTAATGCGAGTGGTACAAAATCAACTTCGGCAGAATTAAGTGAAAAGTGAAAAAAAAATTATAGTGAAATTTTTTTTGAAAATTAACCATCAGGTGATTCAAAAAAAACGTTTAATGACTATAAATAATTATAACCATCCGAACTCAACAACTTCACATAATAAAAATAGCAATTTTAACGAGTTGCAAAAACTTTTAAAATTTTTTAAAGGAACTTGAAATTAAAACTGAAGATTCAAATTTGTATTCAACAGAAGGAACTAATCTATTAAAACAATGCATCGCTGACAATGTAGATGTTTTTGAGAAATCATAATTAGATTTAAAATGGTCAGGTACGATATATCATTCGATTGATACAGACGATAGCGCACCTAACGAGTTTACCAAGCAAATGCTGAAAACAAAAAAAAATTTCAAAGCAATGTAATGCATTTTTAAAACTAGGATCAGGTCG